GTCAGGTATCCTGATCAAAAACGGCTTCACGAGTAAGGCGTAAATGCGAAAGCGGTCACTTGGAACAATAAAATAATCAAAGATATTCTTTTGCGGGTTCGGCAGTTGTGAGTACTATCTTCTTATCTCAGGCTGCGTAAACAGATAACAATTTTTGCCGTTTGCTTCCATTCTCGACACCCCGTCTTTTTTGTGAGCAAGCAGGCCTTCCTCACGTCCGTGCGGTTTTAGTGCGGAGGACCTTGCAACAACTACGGGATGTGTCTAGCACTCGAATACAAGCTGAGGGACATTTTTTATATTCGCTATGTTTCCACCCTGGTTATTGATTTTTCCGACACCTTCCAGTTAATACCACCATATAGAGGTTATAGTAGCCCTTGGGTTTTCTCTTGAAATCGATTCAGTGTTGTGCTGTAGTTTATCTGGTATTTATTCCTCCACTCTTGTTGACTCAGGTATTTTCTCTATCCGTCAACGATAACCAGAATTGAAGTTCTCCCCTCTTATCGTTCTCGAAAAACCAAATTAGTTTGCAAATGAGTGTATATTCGCTGATTTCGTGCGATTTGTTTTCAAGTAGAACATAAGGTTGACGGAAACCCGGGGACTGCGCCTACCTGATGAGCCCCAAAATGGGCAAAACCGGTCGTGGGCTGTCGACGGATTTTCAGCAAACCTTATGAGAGTACATTACAATGAAATAATAGGTTGTTCATGTCCAAAGCATGACTCGATGACGACTATTAGTCAAGAAGGGGAACGCCAGGACGCATCGCGCATATCGAATGCAGCACACAGCAGTTATCGTCCAGCGTAATAAAGTGGTCTTATTGATGTTTCACACTTCATCAGCGTGCAACGTAGTTTTATGTGAGTTATGTACACACTAATGTACACACAACAAATTACCAACACTAAATCCAAATTGATCGCAGATTCAGTAGACAGTTTTTCCTCTAGTCGAACCTCCGAATTTGAAGGGTAGTAGAAACCATGGCTTGTTGCACATTATATGCAATAGAGAAACGGAAAGTAATACGCACTTGGGCAGCTGGCAGGTAGATGTGCCAAGCCATTCAGGCTATCTTGCCAGATATTTTATTTCGCTCAGAGACCAACACGAAAGACTAGTATGCAGTAGTTCAAGGTAAAAGCAGACTTTTGGTTGAGCTCAAACAGCTAGCTGGTGAGTTCGCTGTTGCCTAAGCGACGTCCGGCTAATGTGAATCGCATAGTTGGCAATTAAAAATCACCTATCTGGTACACTGACTAACCGCATAGAATTACCATTGAATCAATCAATTAGTTATTTTGAAAATAAATCGTGAAACATATTAGGTTCCAGCTTTCGCGGACACAGGCTGAATGAGCGATATTTAGGCCTCTTCCAGAACACTTCTATTAGATGATATTCTTCGAAACGTGTAATAAGAAAAGGTATTTTGTTGATATATCATGTTATATTCATATCTGCGGGATGTTCTCTACACCACTTCCTAGCATAACTCATCATTATCACGAGTTTTTTCACCGTGATTCTGCTTATTTCAATATACCACTGATCTCGGGAATGCTTGTTTAGGTCATACTGGGAATCCGAAGCGATTGGAGGGAGGCAGATACCTTTCAAAGAACATTTGAGGTAGTACCTTACTTATATCCGGTAAGCCTAAGCTCCAAAGGACGAGCCCGTTGCCTGAAGACCGGGACTTGTAAGACCAACCATATCTTGATTTCGTCATATCCAGTCGACAAACTGTAAACCGAGCGTATTGGTCAACCGGTACGCTGGTTTGGTTACCACATCGATTGTAGGGTAGTGGGGGTGAGTGCGCCAAATATGGCTCCGCGTTTACTTGTGAGTACGTATGAATTATTGTCGACTTTCTAGTAGTCAGACTGACAGCTTGGAAATGTGGATACGCTCTTGCTTCAGTGGCTCCAGGCCACAGCAGTCTTAGGCTATTTCGAATTCTACGACAATTACTAGCTACATCCACAAACATCTCCAGGCAACCCCAATCGCATATTCTCCACAACCAAGACAGCAGCTTCCTCTAGAACCCCACTAATACACAAATTTTTCCGACTAATCAAAGCAAGAACACTTATGTCAATAATGCAGTATAACTTCGGAACACATATTGTTCGTGGCTTTCATGGTACTACCAGTGCAATGATGATACTACTGATGGGGGCACGCGAGTAGTGTTTTCTCGTAAGACCGCTTTGCGTCTCTTGAAAAGTGCGATCTATTACAGAAATTGTGGAGTCGCATTTGCATAGATTTAAGAAGCAGTCCCTGAATATCCAGGAAATTTCAGGAAGACGCGTTCAAAGAGAGGATGGATATTCAGTATTTGTAAACAAGATGCATATAAGAGGTTTGCTTCCCTGCCCAATAGTCTGTAACTGTTCAGTTGACATTTTGTAGTAAATAACTTCGCGGGGAAGGCCTTCTTCCTTCCACCAGTATCAACAAGAGATATCCATGTCCTTGTGCTGTTCAGCCACCGGTGCGCTAGTTTCGTTACGGCAGACAACCGAGCCGTCCCCATCATCGTCTTTTATAGATGCCTACGCAGCTAGGTCCCCGTTCAGACTTCCTACCTAGACTTTCCAGAATAGCGAAATTTCATGTTCAGTTTTCTATCGCGACAGCGTTGCTCACGCTGTTCGGGGATAGCTTTTCTTTTCTTATTAGGATCCGAAGGAGTGGTTTCGAAAATATGCATGAGGAATATTGGAGTCTAATGCTCTTGCAAACAGATTTGGTTTTGAAGGGATGCTCAACTGAATTCGGATGAATCAGTCGCTTATGACGACTGACGAAAACTGCAGCAAGCCTTCACCATCATATACCGGGTACCTCTGAACCGATCACGGCTGGTACGATTCAGACTACCACCGATCGCAGAGGCAATTGGAATCCGACTGCTGGATCCGCAACTTTGCATCCAAAAGAAACTTGTGCGACCTATGAACTTGAACTGGCCTACGAAACATCCGGTCCCGCAAGTCTGTCTGACATTGATGTCACTTACCTGATTCCGTGACCCACTGACCTATCCCTCATCCAGCTCCCCCTTCCTTTGACTTCTATTTCTCTAAAGTGTATGTAGCCCCGATCCTAACTTTTTCCACGTAATTTCTGCTACCATATAAATTTGTGATGTATTAGCCAAGAGGAACGATCACAGAAAACAAGCTTTGTTCGCTATCTTCTTCGTTCTCATGAATACACTAATGCTATTTCCACAACATTTAATTGGTACACATAAATAAAATCGTGATTAAGCAACTGTAGCCGTGTCCTGGTTTTACCACAAAAAAAGCAAGCACATGTTCAAACTGACCCCTTCACACGAGCAGTTTGTTTGGGTGTTCCTGCTCACAGAAGCTACGATCAGTCCGCTGGAACTGACCTCTGTTGTCTACTCAGTGAATACATTTTGCATACGACAAACAACTACGCTGCAAAACCGCATTCTGTGATTGAGCCTAACCGCTACGATCAAAAGGTATGTTGTCAGCTTTTCTGCAGAAGTCGATCCGATGTACTCGTGCGTAATACCCTACTTCGAGTTGGCGTAAGACGAAATATTGCAGTGCCGAACGATCACGCTCAGGTTACTCTAGGAAGTGGTTGCGTTCCATGGATAAATGAGTATTGGGAAGTTGACCAGTCTACTTCCGAAACCTACCTGCCATATCCTGACAGTATATAAACTCACAGTCCTTCAAAGGTTGTCGATCAGTATCCAAATCTACCTGCTTTTGATGATCAAATGCCCCTAATTTCGATTTCGAATTCCCAAGCGTTGGACACATAATGTGGCACAGAACGACCCGCAGAGACTGATCAGTAACCGAGTGACGTTATCCGGGCAGAAATTCATGTTCCTGGCTAACCCAAACGATTGCCTTTTCTCTTACTATACACCGTCCTACCTATCGATCGATTCTTCTTGCTTAACTGAATGTCCAGTCAGCTTTGTCAAGTGAGACATCCGGTCCGACCACTTGGGTCCATTATCTTCTTGTTTACGGCCGCATTTATGGACTGAAAGTGCGTGCGCGTGTGGGTTCGTGACACGCGTCTGTTGGTTATCCCGACAATACAGCTTACTGCTCATTTTGTGGTGGCGCGTAATGTGTGGGATTACGGATGAGCCTTTAGCTATTTCCGGATGTAGGACCAGTGATAGCAAACATGTTACATCGTTTACCGCTATATCTTGACAGAATACTAAGCAATTTATAAGATAGCACGGGAGGGAGATGATATTCACGACTCTTTCGAGTGACTCAAACTCAGGAGTGCGCACATTACATTGTGGTTGATATTTAGCGCTACTATAGACTTTTCACGAAGTGGTTCCTTCGGAGGGCCCTTTTTTCAAGAAGGGGAATCGCATTCCAGCCAAATACAAACCCCGATTTTCTAGAGCCAGGTTTTATTCACAGAATTCAACTCGACAGTTAAGACCGAGGTGAGTCTGGTCAGACGAAAATGCCTATCATTGTTGAATATTGACAAAACTCCCCATAGCTTTTGTAAACAGACATATCCGGTGCGTCAAATTAGCGCCGTCTGCACCGCCCATAGAAAGACGGTAAAATTAGATGCTGAACGGTGACCAGAAGATATGGAAATCGGATGATGCTAACAGAGGGGAAGTAAGCATCATGCAGGTTAACTCTCAATAGAGCACAAGCCGGTAGAAAACTGCACGCAATCAGCCTATTTCTGATTCTTCACTACACTGTCCCACGTATCACTGGGTGAAGAAAGGATCACACCTCACCCAAGTCATAAGTTCCACAGTTGACCATGAACACACTGCTTTTTCGGCTACCGCCCGCCTCACTTGGGCAACATCGAAAGCTGGAAGAGCCCTTTTTTTACACAATTTCCCCTTACCAAGGAACGCCAGAGTCCGGCAGAAAACGCAGAGGAAACTCAAGGGTAATTCAATTAATTAGGACTACCACGAGTGATTCAGACATAGTTGAAAGGGGCACATTAAGGCGATCGCCCTCAGAGCTGCGAAGGTTGGGTGTAAAGTAGAGAAGTTTGGTAGAATGACCACAGAACTAGACCGATGAGTATGAAAAAAATATACATAAGTATGGAAACGATCGTTTCGACAAGTGAAAGCAAGGGAGACAACGGAGTTTTGTGTGTGTGTGTGTAGACAGGAGTATAAAATAGCGGCTTTAATTGATATAAGCAGATACTCAAGTGATAAAATGGGAGAGACAACGAACAGGCTGCCAAGTACCATAGACACATACGCAAGACAACTGAGATCACGTGGATTGCACAGAAGCAGCATCCAGAGTATGGGGGCCCTAGTTTCTGCTGCATACGAGCCTTTAACCTGAACGCTTCAAATCGGCTGTTTGAATACCGGCGAGGATCCGTTGCCACAGAGCTGCCCCGCATTTGTGGTGTCTGCGTATCCGTGTGAGAAGATTGTTCCAATGGAGACCACAGTCGGTGGCAGGCATACTCAAATGCACGTTGTAGGCTTTCAGTATTAGATCCACAAACTCATCCCATTCCGCTTGCCCTTGGCCGATGTATTGAAGTCTTTGTTCGATAAACTTGTGAAACCTAGACAGTCAAAGTATAGATAGAGAGATTCGTAGGATCCCATCTGCGGAGGCGGGAACGGGTAGAAACGACACAGTGAATCGTGTGATATGAAACACCAGCGGGCGAAAACCTTGAGAAAGCGATATCGTTACAAGATTGCCGAAAAACGGAAGAGTACACTGCAGTCTTATAAGGGATGAGTGGATACGCAAGTATCCTGAATACTTCCTACTGTAAGCTAGTCATCAATGATTTACAGACCAGACAGGCCTGGTCTCAGGAAGGGTACTTAGTCAACAAAGTATCAGGGTTTGCATTTAATGTCGCTCCGACATGTAAAATGCAGTCAGGGATGCTTCGGATTTTTTAAGAAAATCAACTTAGTTAACAGTCTAACTCGGTTTCTGTAGCAGTAGCCACAGAACACGGAAAATGGTGCTTAATTGTGCCAGAATAATGCCGCGCTTTGTAGCAGAATGAAGTTAACCGATGTGTACAAAATGACCGATAGATGCAGAAGGTCCAAATAACGAGCGAATGAAATGGGATCAGGTTCTATGGCAGCCACTACGTGAAACCTCGACAGAAACAGACGAGCGAGGTGGTCAATGTGAAAACGAAAGCAAGGAATGATATTAGCATGACACTTGAGTGAAATTATTCTGAGGTAAATACTGTCCACTGTCCAGACGGAGACTGTGGCGTGTACCTACAACTGATTGGCACCGGAAAGAGCTTACTTTGTATCAAACATGAAATTGGAACTCACAGAGCATGAGTCCTGTTGATAAGCTTTTCAACCAGGTCTCTGCCGTTGACCGATTGTTTTGCACAGGCTTGTTCACTCATTGGGAACAAGGACGTGGGTGCCGGAGGAGGCGGCGGAACATGGATTGTGGTATTTGAGCCAAGAGGTTCGCCTGATCGAACTGAAGCTGCGGATACTACGGGCCAACTGGCGGAATGTCCGACGGCTTGAAAAGGAACATGTATGAACGGATGGCCTGCAGAATCCGCTGGTGGAGGTGGTGGGACACAGGCGGCCATGCGCTGATGTTCCAGAAACAGAGCACTCGCCTGAAACTGATCTTGATGTAAACCGAGCTGCTGATATAGTGTAATCATGTTACTGAACTGTTCTTGTTGTTGCTGCGGCGTCAAGGTTGAACAAGATCCAAAAGGGGCCGACCACATGGGTGTTAAAGAATATGGATTTGCAAAGTTTGAGGAAGGGAACGGGAGGACTCCATCGATGGGTTGATTCATAGCATTAGGTGTTGACCAGGTCCCGGAAGGTTGAAGTGTAGTGGGAAACGGCGGACGCCCGTCCATGTACGGAAAGGGTGGATGAACAGGAGGATAATACGGAGCCTGAATCTGATTGCCTTGAACTGTCTTCGGAGGCATACAGGTGTAGAACTGATTTATTCCGGCATCTATTGGTATATGACATGGTCTAACAGCTCCCTCCTGTGCCGGTGCATCAACAGGCGCAGTAGACGTGGCGATTTGACCTGATTCCGCAGGCTGATTCTTGAAGTACTCAATCACTTTGTTTGTTATGTGTTTCATGAGTAGAGGATGTTGGACACATTGAAGCACCAAGTTACAATATTCGTGCACGAAAGATGGACCCAATCCACTGGCAACCTGAAAATTTAGGCGGACAAAAATAGATACCAGTATTTGTGGAAATCCGGTTGCCAAACAGTTGGCGTCTATTCATGAGATCTGTGAAAATAACTAGAGATGAGCACTGGCACCTTAGATGCTTGTTTCCTCGTCCTGTCTTTAAAAAAAACAAGAATGATATGCTTGTATAACACAATCGAAACGCGCAAGCGGTTCCTATCGTCCCACCAGTACCAAAGCCAGAAGAACGGGTTGTAGAGCCACTTACAATTGAGTATTACAATCACTTGGGTCTGGGACTTTGGTGGGGCATGGCAGATTCAGCACTTTCATATGACACTTTTGGTGACAACGAGTCGGTTGTCGCAACCAAACTGTAGTTGCTTGGTATGTTGTGAGTGCGTTGTGTCGGACGGAGTGATTTGGTGACACTCGGTAGACCCTACTAAACCATTCGGTGCTTCTTAGCATTGGTCGGTTGAGCCATGATTGCACTAATTAAGTGGTGTGGCTTTATCAAGATGCTTGCAGGATGACAGGTACTCAGGAAACTTTGGGGTTGGGCATCGTGTCGTACGTCTCGCATGATTTGCTGAACACTCACAAACGAAGGAAGGAATGAATCTGAATGAGTCATAGACAGGAGCTTTGTCCTCCAGGGTGGCGTTCATCGATCGACAACTGCTAGGATGTGTTCTCAATGGCGCGACCATTGAATGTCTACATGAGGACAGTTGTGAAGTTGCGCGTAACTATTCAGAGGTTCTGTCACTTACCTATATAGTCCCTTCAAGTATACAAAGCATGGTTGGCTATACCAAGTATAAGACAGGTTAATGCCCCGCAGATACGGCACTGCGTTATATACGAAAAAGGAGCAGTAGGATTCAGCGGCGAGTGTACCCGAAAGTCATGTGCTCCGGCAAACATAAATGAAATGTAATTGAAGCCTAACAGGGTTAGTCAACAGTGCCTGCAAGATCTGTGCCGACGACACATTGCATGCAGAAGTGAGGCTCTACATAAAACCCTCTTTGAAATGAGAATACAGAATAGAAACGCGCTAGGGTGAAGATACTACGCGACAGAATTACATGCTCTCAACCAGATCCAGAGTTCTCAACTGCCATCAAGCAAAGTAGACCACCTGTCGAGGCCAAATCGCACTATGTACACAAATTTACATGCAAGTACGGATCAAGTCACATTGGCAGAACCGATAACTGTTTCACCGTCAAAATGAGGGAGTACGTGCCCGTTTGTGTCCGGAGCTATCTTTTTCAGTGTGCAGGACCGAAGTAACAAGCCAAACCTCCCGCCACAAGCCACCAAGTCGATATCACCTCGGAATATACTTTTTTTCTACCGAAACTCACGTGCTACGCTGTTTGCTGAGACCGATGCAACAAATCGATCGAAAACTTCACTATGTGTTCAAAAGCAACCGAATATGAAATTTAAACTGGCTTGGACTTTGTGGCACGGAAAGGCGCATATATTTTGGTTGGTCGGCTAACCTGTCACGTGATTAACTTTGTGCTGTGAGTCGCTATAAAATCCGTTTTTCCGATTAATGGCTTCGGTAGTAACGAGGCGATACGAGGTGCCTGCCTGTCGATTCCCGTGTTTTTATTGTGCTACTTAAAGTTCCACAGACAAATACTACGTTCTTCGACGCTTTATGGCGAGTACCATAAAATTTGGCAATACTCGCCCTCGTCTAAGCAATGGCAAATTGTATTACGGGGGTGAATAAAAAAACTGACAACTTTTATATATGCGATTCCAAAGTAAACAGGTCCTCGACCTCAAGAAGCAAGGTCACATTACCATTCTCTAATATGATGACAAAAACCGGTTATATTCAACTGACGCTGCCACTCGTCATGTGAGTTGCGTGAGCAGTTGTACCGAAGAGGTCCCATCAACGGGTGACACCACCAGTTTACTGGACTTCATCAGGAGTTGCGGAAAAAAGCAAAGTTCCTAAAGTGGTTTCTTGCTGTGACCAGCAATTGTTCTCCGCCGTGGCTTGACTACTTGGCCAGTGTCCTCCATTTTCTGCAACCTTAGGAAGATGTATTGGAGATCGAATGAGAATTTCAAACAGGCTAGATCTGAATCACAGTCCAGTACAACGGCTGGAGCAGCGCCCCGCCCCTAACAACCCACTGATAATACCAACTAGACTGGAGACGGACCATTTGTAATATAACTGCCTACCTCAGCGAACAACCGACGATCACAGCCCTTAGAATTTCACTCCCACGAAGGAGTGAGAGTAGTGGGCGGCCTAAGCAGGTATTACGACCAAAGTGAGGCAGTTCGGTTTCCAGTATTTCGCGCGAGAATGTACTGAAGGTTCAAGGAAAAGCTCTAGTGAACGTATTCTGACATTGCTCCTCTACCTTTCTACGACAGTCTCTGGTCAATAGCGTTGGTATCACCCTGGAAATAGATGATTCTGTGAAAATAATAAGCGATATTCGAATTCTAGTGTTCGGAGGAGCATTGTACAAAATATCTAAAAGCCAGAAGGCCGTTGGTTGAACTTCACAGTAAATAACATCCGCGCTGTTTTTCCTCTGCTCCAAATTTAATTCGATGCGAGCTGCTGTCACAAAAAGTAGAGTACCATCCGCTTGCTAGACTAAGCATTGATATAAAAAAATCAGAGTAAAAAAGACTGACATCCCGTGCGATCATCTGTTATCGAATGGTGCTGAACGCCCTGCGCAACAACCGGAAATTAGGGTAACTTGAACTTACGTCAAGTGCCCATAATATATTCACTTCCCACACTTTGACCAATTGTGTGTCTGTAGTGATAGGTAGTCGAAGGCGACCAAATTCGGAAGTGGATATCTGAGCATTGGCCCCACCACCACCAGCACTGTTACAGGTCATCGCACTGACACTGTCGATTTCGGAGGATACAGAGGAATTGATAAGGCCACTGCCAGGTGCGAAGAAATCACTAGTTTGTTGCGCGTTCGCCTTCTGTCTCTGTTGCATTGAATGGTGGTGTTTGCTTCCTCTAACAGAGCGTCCGGGCGGCATCGGGCTACTTTGTGCCCCAAAGGAGCCAGTGGGCTGAAAACGAATGGAAAAGAATTCTGGAGTGACAGATTAATTTGGGGACTTGGTAAAAACAGGAATGGGTTGCTCTCACCAGTTAAGGAAGAAGATGGATGTTAGAATGCCCTTCAGTTCCTGCGTACCTGATTCTCTGCTGATGCGCCTACATTTGGAAGGGGATAACGGAAACGCAGGAGCCTTATTACCTAGAGAATTCGTCTGACTAGAGCTGTGTCCGGTGTAAGCGACCACGTCAGAACATGGGCAACACACTTATACTCCACATACACTGAGAGGATCCACGGCACAAGGCACGTGAACAGTCACGAAATCATGAGGATCATATAATGAAACTAGAGGGTGGGCCAAAAAGACTGTTTCTTCTAGCAGGACTGTCGTGGACACTTTCATGGGCAGCAATAGGCTATAGGCAAATGCTAGTGCCCATTTATTGTTTACTCACCGTCAATAATGCCCAGTGACGAGTGGAGGCTACCTGTAAAAAACTGGATGCCCCGGGAAGAGATGACCAAGAACCAGATCCCTAGAACTAACAAGAGCATTGATTTTGACAATTTAAGCCTCATGTTGAGGTGGGACCAGGTCGGCTAAATCGGTAGGACCGGGGAGAAGCCAAGTTAGTCGGTCTGGTCAGGAACTGACACCATTTTCGAGACCGATTACATGTCTCATCTTGCAGGGTACCTGGTCACACACAGTGGCAGTATAATATAAGCGAAGAGACTTGAAGCAGGCAATGAGGAACCTGTTACCGAATACATCTTGAGTGAATGAATATTCAACCGAAATCCAGCGACTCTCACCTATTTCCCACATTCTGCCAGAACTAACGTCCGATGCAACGAGTTGACCAAGTGCCAAATACCAAGCACTTGGGCTCACAAAAAAGAGATGAGCCAGAATTAAAACGATAGTGGACATATGTTCCTGTGGATAGAATACACCTGCCACAAACTCAGCAGGTTCACTCACTTGTGTAAGGAAGATTTTCTTGATAGCACTGGTTGCACACAGATAGGCTCGACGAAGGTATAGACGTGATTTGGCCTCAAGATCCTGAATAGTTGATGCACTGGAAGCAGCCAGCGTGGTATCGGCCAGAGATGTCGCGGTAAAAGTTTGTGCATGCCCGGCGGTGATACTGGTCGCATTCGGGTCTTCAACCACCGACTCCGTTGGTCGACTCGAATCCGTTTCAGATGTCGTTGAGGCACGATCAGAAGAGGCAGGATGAACCACGACAGAGCTAGACGCGTTACTCATAGAAGCCAATCTGTGGTGAGCCCCACCAATAGGTGCAATAAAACGAGCCGCTGAAAGTGAAGCCAAATTAGCTGGTGCATTAAATGGATAGGAAGTGGGTGGTACAGTGCCGTTGCTATTCTCCGCGACGGAGGCTGCGCCAGAAACGGGAGTGTTCACTGTATATGAAGCCTGCTCATGACCAGCTGTTTGATCACGCGCCATTTGGTAGATAACACCGAATTCTGAAGAAAGAAAAAAGGGTGAATCCGGGGTCAAATAGGATCAACTGACCAAGATTCCGCACAACAAAGGAACAAAGAATCAGCAGTGTCACTCACGAGGCATTATCGGCGGAACCGCTTGTGGCTGAGAGGACACGTTCGCATGAACTGGCTGCAGTTGTGGGGCATATGTTGTATTGGGAAGCTGACTGACTGAATTTACTAGCTGAGGATTAGAGGGAACGAAGCCCGACGGTGGTGCGAAATTTGGTTGCGGCAGAGTAAGGTGTGGTGGTGGCGGTGGAATGGACGGCATCCGGCTTCCAGGCAGTGACATTCCAGTATTGGCCCGAAACTGATACGGGCCGTTCTACCAAGGTGAATAGGCGCACGCGACGGGGGAAAACAGACAAAATTGAGAATAGGTGAAATAATGGAGAACGATAAAGCTTTCTCATAGAGACTTCCAGATAACCAAATTTCTCGATGACATGAGTCAGGGGGTAAGGGATGGGTCAGTTCCATTCCCGTTATTCTACCAACCAGCTTACGTACAAACAGTATATTGTCATTACAAACGGAAAGTTGATATTGTAATAGTTTTATCAGCCGGATAATGAACGAATACCAAAACTGACTCAATAACAGACAGGACCATATGAAGTCTGCCTATCTGCTTCTTTAACAAGTGAGCTCAGTGAGCCCCCTTGAAAAGATGTTTTTCGAAGCCTCATTTAACTGTGAGGCTTCCATCCAACGGACGGGTTTATTACAAACATGGAAGTACCGAGCAATCCATTCTCAATCGCTACTACGAATCAGTCACACAGTTGGATTGCCATTCTGATGGACAAATGAGAAAACCACCATTGACGAAAACATGTACAACGAAACCGCACCGAGGCACTCAGAAACAGGTCATAAATTCCAGTACACCGCGATGTCACTCGACCCCTCCTGGCGAAACTTTTTGACGAGCCTGGTTTCTTTCCAGTTAACGACCTAAAGCTTGGTGTTGGAACACCGTTGTCTACGGCGCATACTAGAAGCACGACTGCTTTCATTCAATCGGCCCTTCCAGATGGCACTACCAGGGAAAGAAGTTTGTAAGTATTGTCACGTCGTAGACAAAGAGAAGGAAGTTGGCATTAACTTGTACCGACCGACTATGACCGGTGGAGCCAAGGCTTGCCATTACTTCTGAAGAGTTACTTAACTCTGTTATGAAACTCATTCATGCATTCTGTTATTAGAACTGGTGAAAGAAGGGATAAATGGGGTCAACAAAGTGGAAAAGCACAGATAGAACAGCGTGCTAAGGAATAGGCGTCACTAAAATCACCTCATCAATGAGCGCAATAATGTTCACAGAGTTCGTATCTGATAGCCGAACCCCACAAACAGCGAGGCTAGGGACAGTTGGTAGGCCTTCGGTACTAAAACTCCAACATCATTCGGATAGATACTGGATTAGTATTATACAGTCCTCACTTTGGACAGCAAAAACACGAGTACGAATCCAATAATACCGAAAAATGCAATACCTGAACGCATTGCAGCTGAGCAGGCGTATTCAAGACTGGATGTGGCATCTGCGGCGTTTGTGTATCATAGTGGAATTGCGTGTTTTGCCCATGCGATGGACCCAGTGTTGACTGGGCGTTTCTCGGTTGGGATTGTCCATAGTCACCCATAAGCTGTGGTTGTTGCATGTTGGCAGGGAGAGTTGAATAATAGAACATGGGCTGATAGACTGAGGACATGGGTGGAACAATGCCAAGAGCCGGGTCATGAGACATTGAAATTGATCGATAGACCGGTTGGCTGGCCTGGTCTCCCAAAGAAGCTGGAAGATGGTGCGACAAACTTATGGAACTATAAGGAGACTGGGAAGAACTGGGGGGAAGAATAGACCAAGATGATATGGGGAAGCTGCTCTGTTCGATCCCATTGGGAAAAGAAGCAGGATACTGACCCGCACCGAATGAAGGGGTTGACTGTACGGTGGAGTTGGTTGTTCCATCCGCAGAAGTGTGGGCAGTACTAGTGGGGCCTGAAGATTTGGACGCATCGCCATCAATGTTTTCGCTGTTTATGACAGCCTGCTGCTGGTGCTGTATGGCTAGATCCTTTTGTTGCTCACGTGACATTTCAACCGCCTTTTTATAGTCCTCAGTGGCGCTTTGGTGCAGGGAGAACCAACTACGAGCGAGGAAAAAGTGGATCTCTGGTAATATACCGTAAGAGGATTGAGTGTCTGCCTGTTCGATCTTGAGCAAGCCACGTTCCAACGCTTGACTGGAATGTTCTTCACACTGGGCAAGAGCACGATAGATTTCATGCGGCCGGAGTGTAGTGCAGAAGGTCAGACTTGCCAGACACAGCTCGACAGCGATATCTACAAGCTATGAAGGGGAGAGGGTAGCAAAAAGGGAACAATCAATGGTATAACCTTTGAAAGCCGTTGATACGAACCAGTAGATAGGACACAATGATCGAATAAGCTGTCCAAAAATAAACTATCGTTCGAGGGAGAGAAAAACTGTAAGTAGACCGTGGTGTAGGTCAAAAATGGAATGACAGAAACTGACAAGTCTATGGGAATTTTCACAACTCACCATTCGATTATTTTCATGTGACAGCTGCAAAGCGATTCCCGCTAGTTCGGCTGCAGTCATATGTTGCTGCCAGGAATGGTACAGTATGCACGCAGCAGGCAGACCGATTTCGAATACTTGTTGGCTGACCCAGCCACCGTTTCGAGAATACGTTCGATTGTGCCAGGATGGAGTAAGTCCATTGTAAACACCCAAGCCGTAGAGACCAATCTACGACAAAGAGGAAGAATGTGACAATGTGTACGAACAGAAAAACCACACTACGTGCAGAGAAAGCACCAAGTAAGCCATTCGTGTTGTCATGGACGAAATAAAGGCTTTGAGCTCCCAGTAAACCACTGGCTTAAAAGGGATAAATCCACATAAGTGATTAACCAGGATAATACTGTGAAGAGTTCTGTGAGACAATCTGTTCCTGCAGGAGTCATTTCTATCTAACAAGACAGTTCACCACTTCGTCCCCATCCCCAAGGTCAAAAGGCTGGCCCAATAGGAAAAATCCACGTGTTTAAAGAACTACAGTAGGACAACATCAGTGTCTAGTTCGAAGCCAGAAAGATATGTGCAAAGTGCTGAGCTGTGCATCACATTGCTATGGATAGTAGACAGTTTAGCTTTCTCTTTACCAAAATAACTTTTCGGCGCCATTCACCATGTAAGCGTGGCTTGTCGTAGCGTCTTCACACGCCTGTTACTTGTTTCAGTGGGTTGTGTATCGAATGTTGATAGGAGAAGTGGGGGGCATGTACGGTACTTTTCGAGTCTGAGTCAACGTCCGATGCATCCTAAGCTTGTCATTAGATAGCCAGAGTATACATGGTATATTTAACCCATAGAAAGGAGTACAGCCTGTGTTGCAAAATCTAAGTATGGACAGAGGCAGAGGTTCGGGATATGCCTGGAGCCGAGCAATCATTCTTTGGGATAAAGTAGCCGTAATGTCAGCAAGCACGGTGAGCATTTTTATGGGGACAGAAATATATCCCTTTCACATTAAGAGGTCCCTCATTCTTGTAACACGCATTGAGACGATTCCCAAAGGGACTAGATAAAGATCCTAATGTCTCGAATAAGACTGCTTGCACTTCAAATAGGTACTCAAAGGAGTGTTCAAATTCTGGGTTGCAAAGGACTCAGGAAATCCTAACTTGACATCGAGTCGCCTTTAGGTCTCTAACAAGATGCTTGAGGACTTCTGCAAGGCAATCTCAACAAATGTATTGAAATACCTATTTTAAAGTGCTGATGCGTCTCAACATGAGTAAGAGTAGCGAGAATTTTTAGGACTATCATGAATGAATTTTGGATAAGTGACACTGGATGGTTGACTTCGCATGTACTCAAATAAATTTGAAGGCGTTTGGATAATCTAATAGGTTCAACTTGTGAAGCGAGATCCGAACCAGTCAAACCTGCAAATAACACAGACGTAAGCTATTTAATTCATTGAGTACAAAGTAAGTTCGCTTCGAAGCAACACCAATCAGTTCTGGTATAAAAATGGATATTTAGTGGGTGTTGAACCAACAGGCTCATTCAGTTAGCGATCGGCGAGCAATTTGACAAAAAGACCCTTCGCGCGAAACTCCCGAGTTTCGGTAAAATTATGAACTACTTGGCACACTTACGCTAGACCAAAGAGAGACTGAACTAAGTCCATATAATTCCATGAAAGGCTAAAATGCTCCTTTCCTCATACTAACCTCCTTTTTTATAGGAAACATGATGCACGAAAATGAAGTGTCTACGAGAGAAGTCGATGTTGAAAAGTTTACAGAAATGGATGGCTATGCTACTAATGAAACATAAAAACAGCATGAACAATGAGGTGAATTGGTTTTGGGGTTTCTAATCTTTAGAAACAAGAGAAGTTAACTAACCACTATTCTATGTAGCAAGGTTACCCAGGGCTTTCGGGTTCGAGTTAGATTATCTCGGTTCGTGGTAATAAATCCAAAATAACTAACAACAGGAATGATAAGTTACAGACAGCATGAAACGGCATCAGCGGTGTGGAATGTTAAGGTGCGTGTTAAGGAACGTGATAAGCGAAAACGTAAGGTCATCGCCTAGGTACCGGGTGTTTCTTGATAAGGAGTCGGTTAGATTGAGGGATAATAGACCCGAATGTACATATCCATGCTAGGCTTTCTCCAGGTAGTGTTCTTGTGGACTGATAAACCGGTGAGAGACAACAATAGCAATAAGATACAGTTCGATCCCAAACGATCTGTCAAGTTAAACAGGAGGATCCCAAAAGTACGATAACCCGGAAGAGGACATTGGGTAAATTAATTTCACTGGGCCGACTAGAGTTCACCTAGCCACTTCATCAATGTTGTGAAGCAACGTGAGGGTCAATGCGGCAGAGAAATGCACAGGAGAGAACATATGGCAGCGAAGTAACAGCGGCCAACGTTCCTACTTGTATTGGCTGTCAGTGTAGGTGGTTGGCTGGAACGCAACGACGACGACCACATGGTGAACACATGTTAGGTGAAAATACATCAAGATTGCAATAAGTCTTAGAGTCAGTGTACACGCCTCGCCCATTTCCGGGAATTAAGGCAGAGGACAAAGCCATGTTAGTTCATACGACCTGACCTGAATCTTGTTCTTTGGAAAGTAAGAAGACAATAAGAGATCAAAGTTCGAGTCTGAAGGGAAGTTAGACAAGTGTGATAAAATGAAGTGCTCATCATCATCATCCCCAGTGTCAGCTGAAATAACCGCGTACTCGTCGTCTTGTTCTTTAGTAAGAAGACAATAAGAGATCAAAGTTCGAGTCTGAAGGGAAGTTAGACAAGTGTGATAAAATGAAGTGCTCATCATCAATCATCCCAGTGTCAGCTGAAATAACCGCGTACTCGTCGTACAGTGGTTGTAGCTGCCACAGATTCGTTCACCGATTTTTTTTTGAGGGGGGGATAGGGACAGTGGGCTGTCAAGTTGGAGGGGGGTTGGAAAAGGAGCTATGCATTGAAGGCAATAGCTTTGATGCACGAGCGCCACTGAGGGCGCGACTGGGCCATATCTGACAATGTCTC